GATTCATACCTTTTGCAAGTGAATATAACCAACCTGACTGAAATTGGAACTCAGCTCTCTGATTTCCAATTATGAGATGTTATCCATTACACCACCTGCACATCCAAGCTTACAGAACCTGATATTTCCAAGTATTCACCTATCTAAGTTCAAATCTTGCCAGAGGGGACATTTTCTTCATTAAGTTTTCTTGAGTGCACAGACTGGTAGACAAATACTGTTTAAAATAATTAGTGTCTCTTCAAATATGGGTATCAACTAAAAATAATGTTTGAAGTAATAAAAATATCTATATTAGAGTTCAAAAGTTTGAAGCAACACCCAGATTATCATGGGATGAACTTGGCAGAAGAGTGAAAGAAAAAAGAAAAAAAGAGCTCTTAGTCATTGAAAAAAGAATGGATCTGTTATCAAACTTATACTTTGAGAACCTTTTGAAATGAATGGCAAAAAATTGTGCTGCAGTAATCAAGGCTAAAGGAGGATATTTTGACAAGAACAAAATTCAATCATAAAATGTTTTTTTTTTCTTTTTGTCAGAATGAAATTTCTATCATGTCTCTTTTTATTTTTTTTAGCTATATATAATAATTTCCTCTTATTTAAAGTACAAAACAACTACTTTTGGGAGCTATTTAAAAAATTATCTGGGGTTTCCTCAAATTTTTGAACTGTAGTGCATGTGTATTTATTTTTTTCTGCATATTTTCCATGTATTTTATACAATTAAATGCACTTTGAAGCAAAAAAGCTGTACCCCCCCAAAAAAAAACAAAAGAAAAAAATAAAAACATGCCAAAAGCCTGAAAAGAAAACAGAGACAAAAGTTACTTTAAGTTTTTTATTCCCTTAAAAAGTAGAGTTTATTTTCTTCCTTTTTGATTCTCTGTTACAATTTGTTTTCTTTTGCTGTCCAAAAGCTGAACAAATTTATTAAGTGATCAGCAGATGCAGCGTTGGGCATTAAAAAAAAAAAAAAAAAATTAAAAGCCCAAAGACAATGAACCAAAGAATTTGATCAACTATTGTGAGTGGAAGAATTTATTCCCATATTCCTCCTTCTCCTCCTGTACAGTCACATGTACCATCACTCTCTCATATATGTCTGTGTATGCATATGCCTGTGTTAGGTGTGTATACATATTTATATACAAACTGAAGTCAGCATATCTGCTTGCTTGTATGTATCTATGTATGTATCTATGTATGTACAAACCGAAATAAAGGTGTTAAAATCAGTGTCCATATATAAGTGTACATGTGTAGAGTGTGGAAAAAAATGCCTATGTCAGACATGTATGCTGTACAAGAGAAAAAAAAAACAAAAAATCAAAATAAACGTTATGTCTACCTTCCATTATACTTGTGTGTGTAATTGAATCTGAGTGAGAGATGAAAACTGTGTATGAATATATTTGTCTCATGACAATAAACATGCAACATATCTTGTCTCATATAGTATATAAAATAGAAATATGGATCTGTGTCTATGTTGGTATGCCCTGTGCAAATGTGACAGAGAATGTCTGTATCTCCATCCATGCAACTGTACATCTGAGTTTATGTAGAAAGGTCCTCATGATAGACTAAACAGACAGTGTTTATCCTTAGAAAGAAAAGCTGCAGTGTTTCATTATCACATTTTTGGTTTCTTTTGTAAATCAGCAGCTGACAAAAATTAAGAACCAAATATAAATCAATTTAAATGCCTTTCTTCATTTTCTTGGTCATTATAAAGTCTTTAACATTGACAAATAAAACGCAAGATCCTTGTGACAACCTTGTATATCTATTTTTCTCATTAATAGTATTTTTTTTCTTTTTTTCTTTAATGTGTTTCTGTGTATATGACTTACACAGGATAGAGAGTTTCAAGAGGGCAGGGGGAAGTTTAAAGACTCAACCTTCACATGACACTGGGGTCATTAGGTGACAACTGTTGACACAACCAATACTTTTATATATATATATATATATATATATATATATATATATATAAAATTTGTTATATTTATAAAAAAGAGCACACAATATCAGAGATAGAGTGTTTGTAGACTGAAGATAGCAGTGAAGCATGAAATTGACAGTCACCATAAAGTGTTGATTCTCTTATATATATATATGTGTGTGTGTGTTTACAATTTGGTATATTTATAGAGGAAGAGCGCTCAATATTGGAGAAAGACTATTTATAAATGTAGACAGTGTATACATAGGAATGAACACTGCATGATGACTCACTTTCATGCTGCAATGCAGTGCTGATTTTCCTTATGTTCACACTATATATATATATATATATATATATATATATATGTGTGTGTGCGTGCATGTAAAATGAAGTATTATTAACTTTTTGATGAGTATCTTTTTATTTTAATTTCAGAATTTTTTGCTTAAATGTTTTTGTAAAATTTTGTTTGTAACTTGACTAGTCTAGAGTTATCTCCCTTGCAATGGTGATACCATTTGGCAGTGTTTTCGTTATGGAAATGGCAAACTGTTTTATACAAGTAATAATGGTAAAACTAACTAATAATAGTTGACAATATTTCATCTCATAACAAAAATTCATTATATATGAAGTACTTACCAAAATACAAAGGCATGCAAAGGATTTCTGTAAGAAAAAATAACGTCTGTATCCAGCTGATTTTTAGAGATATAAACTGCCAATTCCAAGCTTTTTCTTCATATTAGTTTTTCTTGATTAATATTCAACTTAATAAGTATTTAAAATTAACTTGCAATAATTTCATTTTTTTTAAAAATATTTGCATATTTTAATATCCTAATTTTTTAAAAAGGCATTTCATTATATATATATATATATATATATATATATATATATTTTTTACTACTTCAAATGTTATTTTTATTACCCATATTTGAGTAGATGCTGTTTTTTGTTTATTTTTTAAAACTGTGAATTAAATCAACCAACCACCAGTAGGACTTAAACCTGTGTCCCCTTTTGAAGGAGAAACAACTGTTTGTTTAAAAAACAGTGTACCTGCTCAAATATGGGCATCCACAAAAATAACATATGGAAAAGTAAGAAATGATGTTGGATAAAAAGTCCATTGATTCCTTATATATATATATATATATATATATATATATATATATATATATATATATATATATATTGTATTTTGGCAGCATATTTTTATTTAAACAATTTCAACATGTGTTTATTTTCAATAAAATCCTTTCACAATCCCATATAAGTTTTCTTGTTTCATGATTAAAGACAGCAAGAAAGGTGCTGTGGTTATATTTATTCATTTTCCAATATCATCATCAGGGTTTTGATGGCTAAGACAAATTTGTCCTAAATAAATTTTTGCTTTTATGGCTAAACTGTTAACAATTCAAGTCATGTACAAAGTCACAAACACTGATTTAAATTTTTTTTATTTTGTATGAGAAATTCTTTGTGGTTGAATTATTACAATTGTGAATATGCTGGTGAACATAACATCAATTTCATAATTTTAAAAAAATTTACTGTAAGGGAGGTAACTTAGTTAATAATTGAAATATTAATAGGTTATAATTTACTTGTTTTAAACAGTTTAGATATTTTTTAAAAACTATATGGTATAAGTATTTCAGAACATTTAATTAATTTTGTTAATAAAGATAGTTTCAAGAATTTGTAGTTTCTAATTGTTATTGTCTTGGTGATGTATACAGGTATTGTCCACTAATATTCTTCTAAATTTTGAACGTGGACAGGCATGTTATTGTAGAGGTTAAGCAATGAAGGATTAATCATACATGTATAGAGTAGGCATAAAAGCAAAAATCTATTTTGAACAAATACAATTATTTGTCTTAGCCATCAAAACCCTTATGATGATATTGGAAATATCGAAAGTACTCTGGAAAAATAAAAATGAATAAATATAACCACAGTACCTTTCTTGTTGTCTTTAATCATAAAATCAAAAAAAAAAAGCTTATATGTGATTATGGAAAGATTTTATTGAAAATAAGTAAATACATGTCTAAATTGTTTAATCAGACATGTTTATTTATATATATATATATATATATATATAAAAAAAACAGTCTCCAGTTAATATACCTGCTTCTTGGAACCATTTCTGCTCACTGGTCAGTTGGTCTGAACCTTTGTGACTTGAGCCATTTGCTTGTCCATATATTTTACTTCAACATAGGTCACTAAAGAATGAAGACCTGGCAAAAAGTGGACACATACGGAGCATGCCTTTGATTAGATTGAAATTGTCTGAGGTGAGAGATATGATCACTTCATGAAGATGAAAGGCCTGCCTTGAAAATTTAATAAAAAATAGCTTTGAAGAAATATTTGTATGAAAATACTAAGAGAACAAGGTAAAAGGAAGTGTTTTAGAGAATGTGCAAAACAGTGACTTAATAATGAAGAATTGTATGTTTTTATAATCGAAAAAAAAAAAAAAAAAAAAAAAAAAAAAAAAAAACTAGTTTGGAACTGATGTTCACAATGATAATGACAGCAAATGAGTCTTAACGATTAATATCCTAAAGATACTGCAGCTCACCAGCAGTAAGTTTGGTGTCCCTGATAATGGCACATATTAACAGGAATTGGATAAATTCAGTTCTTGCCTGTTTGCTGTGGATACACAAGCCCCAAGTCCTTAAGATGCTGTCAAGTAAGTGGATGTAGTGTATTCTAGTTATGTAAAAATCATTACTTGAAAATCCTCAATACTTACCATCATTCGGCAATAATTTAAAGCCAGAGTATATATATATATATATATATATATATATATAACACACAAGATTATGTATATAAGTCTTGGATTGTGTGTTTGGCATCTTAAGGTAGCACTGGAATATTCCATACAAGATCATCCAATTCCTCATATTGCCGGAATTGCTGAGGACAATTTTGGGTCAACAATTAGCTGCTAATAAAGGGCAGAATCCTTGTTTGGCTGAGTCTTTCAGTTAAAATTTTCTATTAAGAGGAAGGCTGATTGTTAAAATGTATGATAGCCCTCGGCTCCTGTGAATATAACATCTATCCAGATCCTCATGGCCTCAGCACTGGGGGCCACTAGGTAGTATGTGCGGTCATATGTCTTTACACAGAAAGTCAGCTTAGGGTTGGGGCTTTTTACTGTGCGTAGGTGGTCGACATAAACTTCTTCTATGGCTTGAAAATAGATTCCACCTCTGGCTTTGGCCTCATTCTTATCACTGTAATACAGCAGTGATCTCTTTATTCGGTCAAACAGGAACCAGCGTTTGTTCCAAGTCTTAAACTTGTTACCCATTTTCTGTAGGTAGCCACGGCAACTTGTTGTCGTGACAACAACAAATGGGCAAGAGTCCAAATGGTGACCTGCCGTCTCTATATGTTGCCGCAGGTCAAAATCTTTGTTTCGGATGGGGAGATATCGGGTGAGAGGACGTGCCTGCAAATGGAAAGTGAAAAATTAATAGAGAGAAGAAAAGCAAAACATATTTGATATAGATTCATGAAAAATTAAAATGGAAATCATCTCTATTATGAATAAATAATTTTGCAGTATCATCCAATTTGGGGAAAGAATTCATACAATCTAAAAATATTTTCTGACTTTAAATAACCTGCAAAGGGTTGATAAATCATAGAAAATTATAGAATGAATCAATCAATTACTGATTGCTACACAAGCATGCCTCTTAGATTTATTTACATTCTTTGGGATATAAATAGAAACAACTGCGGCCACAAAGCGAGGGATCAGTTTATATATTGATTGTAATATAGAATTGACCTCCACCACTTTATATGCACATAATTTGTTTAGTAAATTCTGTTAGGTATGAATCCACCTCTTCTCCCCCAGCTATGGGTTAATTAGTAAAACTTGTATCACTAAAACATTATTATATAAAAAAAAATTCTTACAATCTAAAAATACTTTCTGACTTTAAATAATCTGCAAATAGTTGAAAACGAATCATTCAGTTTGGGGAAGAATTAACTTTTACAGTAAATTTAAGGTTTTAAGTTTTTCTGAATAATTGTTCTTTTACATAAGCATTCAACAATGTTGGGTTTTAATAATACTAAACCTTCATCTCAAATTAAACCCCATTTTAAAATTATCTAATCATATTGAAAAAGGTTTAAATATAACAGAGTTGTGAGGGTTCAATATGGAAAACTGGAGATTGCATTAAGTGAAAACCATTTCACTTTATAAAAGATTAATCAGCAAAAAAAAAAAAAAAAAAAAAAATGAATATCTCAATAAAACTGACCATGACAGCTGATTTGTCAGCTGGAATATATTCTTTATTAGCAGACATTAATTCTTCACCTACAAAAAAAATGTCACTGTACGACTAACTCTAGAATATCTACACATGCAGGCTATCTGTACCCACATACAACTTTACAGGAAAAAAATATTATATGAATACTGTATTTCTTAAAAGGTAAGACACCATATAATCAGCTGGGCATTTTTGGAAATACTGATTGTCATCAATATTTGAAGAAACAGAAAACAATATATATGGTATGATACTAACAGGATATACAGTAAAAAATATTTGAAGATTTAATAGCTTATCGTACTAGCAAGTCCAAGTTATGGATTCTACTGTGTCATTTTTCTTTCTGTCACAACAAATTATCAAATTTTTGATCTGTTATTAAATCTTTGTGTTTATTAATTAGATTTTCAATAATTTAGCACAATGTTCTACCTACGGTATGCCTAGATGAATGCAAAAGTTACCATACTAGTAGACCACTGGTTATCATCAATATTTGATATTAAAAAAAATATATATATATATATATATATATATATATATATATATGGGATGATACTAATGGGATATATGGTATATATTACATATGAATGATGATTGTAGGCTGAGGTCTGAGATTTGTGATTGTTGGCAAATTCCTCTATACAACTTGACCTTTCAGTGCTAAGATGCAGGGTGCTTTTTGAGGTCATTTTTCAGGGAAAAAATGCATCTTAGCATAGAAGAAATATGGTTTTATATATGGTGGCAGTAGTGGATAGTGGCTCGGATTGAGGAATCAGAGAGCAGAGTTCAAGTTCCAGTCAAATCCATTACATTCACTTACGTGCTAATACACTTGGAAAAGGTATTAATCATTTTCTCCCTCCAGCTATGGGAAAATAGCAGGACAGACTGTGTTCTATAGCCTTGGATGGCAACTAGTCTAGGAGAAGGACAACTCTGAATTCAAAACCTGTGGAAGGAGACATTGTGGTATGTAGTGTACCAGGTCTCTGTATTCAACAACTTCAAAAAGTGGTTGGTTCTGCAAAAAGCCTTCACTGCTATAATCAAATCATATGTGCTGGTGTCTGGCTGTCAGTTCCTAGGAATTGAGCTGCTTGACCCTCATATGTCAAATACAATGGGCAAGTCCACTATGGTGGACTTGCCCATTGTATTTGACATATGAGGGTCAAGCAGCTCAATTCCTAGGAATATATATATATATATATATAACACTCCTAAAAATACAGCTTTAAACATTTTTCCAACCTCCACTAATAAAAAAAAAAAGGACCCGATTCTCTGTTTGTCACACAATATCTGCATCATATGATGTCATGTACATGTCTGTGATGTGCAGGAGTGACTTACATGCACTTGTGACATTTAATGTATGCACACACACATATATATATATATATATATATATATATATACACACACACACACACACACACACACAAACAATTTAATCAAGTTTGAAATAAGACATTGGAATAATACATTTCCTTCCAAACCAATCTGGACAACTCCTGTCCTTGGCTTAGCAACAAACAAAGTTGGAGTAAAAACCCTAAAAAATCTCAAGATTTAATTAAGATTATTCAACAATAGCATTACTTTTTAAAGTTTTTGTCTTTTCTTAATTATCTAGAAATATTTTTAGGTCTATCATTGAATTAAAATATGCACACACACAAACATACATGCACACACAATTTGAATGAAATTAACATGGACATCTGTGTCTCGAGGACTAATTTCCCTATCTGGCAACAACCCCTGGGTAACAAGAAAAAGTATAAGCCAGTCTTTTGAAGTCATGTTTATGACTTCTGCATTTAAACAGAGTATATTTTCTATGTTTTTTTTTTTTTTTTGAAAAGAACTATTTTAAATTGGTCATCTTGCTATCAGCAACGCAATAGTACTCATACCGAACCGATTATTGGTAAAATCTGCTGTTATAGTAATACTTTCTTTTTTGTATATTCATTTGCAATTTTCTTGACTGACGTTGAATATGAAGAAGTATTGTATTTATTGAAGATTCTCAGTACATACTGGCATTGTATCCAGCTGATTAAATATCCATCCCGTGGGTAGAGATTCCAGAATGGATTCATTATTAATCAACATTATTTTATTTCCACTCACATTAGTGACATTTAGATAAAGAGTGTCTCATAATAAAATAAATTCTTTTTGCTGATGGATGTTTTTTTTCTTATTAGTTTCCATACCTATTGGCATTGATAAATGTGCACATGGTCTTCTTGAATTCCTGTCTGAATTTTACTGATAAGGAGTTTATCATTATTTACAGTCAGACTAATATCCTCATCTTTGTTGTTGCTATCACATTTCAGCTGTTGTGCCTTCTGGTCTTCTTTAGATGTGTTTCAATCCAAGCAGCCTTCAGTGATTTCAAACTGAACACTTTATTTAATCTATAGTGGTTGATTGTTCTTGTTCTGTGCATGTCTAGGGATATCTTGTCTTGTTCTTTTGGGGATAAAGAGTTATTTACTTTAGGACTAATATTTCCATCTTTGTTGTTACTATCACAACAATTTGGTCATATGTTTCTCAAGTCCAGTAGTTGTTATTGCTCTTTCTAGCATCAACGGGAGTTTCCTTCCTAACCTTTTATTTGTAGAATGTCAGCATATTAATTATATTAATTTTCTATTCCAGTTACATGTATTATCCATTTTAGTTGCTATCATTGAAAGTGATGTGATTTCTGTTAGTTGGTACAGTTCTTTGAATGAATTTAACAGAGAATTTAACTGTCAAAGGACATAATGAAGGCAAGAGAAGTAGCTGGAAACAGAAAACTGACCTGCTGTATTTGCCGCTCACGAAGTTGTACCTGCTGTTGTACTAACTGATCCCTTAACATGGCTTCCTCCTGCAGTTTTCGTTCAAGCTCTTCTCTTTTCAGACGTTCCTCTTGTAGTGCGGACATTTCATTCTCTCGTAACTTCACCTGAAAATAAGTGGGTTACATGTGTAAACAAAAAGAAGAAGAATACTAACATTTTTTTTTAAAGAATTCAATATTAATCAATAGAATTGTAAGTTAAGGCTTTGATAATTTTAAAATCAATCCATCCAAATACAGAGATAATAATTGGATATATGAATACTGTCTAATATAAAGTAATATATTGAAACAAGCACATGAAGTGAAAAAAAAAAAACAACCTTTGTTTTATGAGTAACGATGTTGAAATACAACTGACTTTTCGACTTACAGGTTCTCAGTTTATATGAAATGTTAATTTAAGAGAGAATGAGGACAACGAGGTTTCCTTATTTCATCTCATCAGATCACTCATGATTGCAGGAAAAAAATAAAGCAGCAGCATTGACATAGAATCATCTTGCCTTTTTTTTATGTTTGCTTGATATACATTTACATGATCAAATTAACATAATTAAATTACATGATTATATTATGTGCTTTGCTTTCATTTGACCACATGTAATATGGATGTATCCTTTTTTATCACAGTATAAGCTGTGATCAAGCCATGAAGATGAATATTTAATGACTGATAAAAATAACACCTTGCCAAAGACAGAAATCAATCCGGTGAATTGGGAGACAAAAAAAAAAATCTTTCAAAAACACCGGAAAACAAATAGAAGAGATGAAGAGAGCCTAAAGAAAAGCCATAGCTCTCCATGCCCTGAACTCTCCTACCCTACCATGCAGTGTCTGTGGACATCTCTTTATATCTAAATTAGGACTCATTTCACACAGAAGGAAATGTCGATGAACACCCCAATACTCAGCAACAAGTTCTGCCAATGACTATATATATATATATATATATATATATATATATATTTTAAAAAAAAATTATAACATAACTATGTAGTGATTTTATAACATACTTATGTTATAATTTTTTTATAAAAAATAATTATATCTGCTCTACTTTGTATTGAGCACTCTTTTAAGAATAGTAATTGTTGGTTATTGGAATTCATTCCATATATACCAATTATATACTTGGAGATATATATATATATATATATATATATATATATATATAACTAAGGTCTGCTCAGCAGAGTTGAAGTATAAAGTACAGATGGGCTCTGTGGGTGTTGAACAAACACAAATGTGTCTGAGTGAGTGTCTGTAATAGGGATTGCCTTGCTACACTAATAGACAGGTATCCTCAAATATGGATGGCCATATATATATATATATATATATATATATATATATATATATATATATATATATACACAAATGTATATTTGAGGCAACTTTCGGGAGGGCAACAATTAAGCCCTTTTAGCCACTTCTTTAGCCATTTTCAAAGGGTTTGTTGTTAATTAATATCAATTTCTTTTCACTGTTATATTTTAAGATGTAATTGTGTGGTCCATAATGTTAATATATCTAGTTATAAAGTTTAATGTAAAGTTTTATTACAAGTCTCACAAGAGAAAGTTATTGTTTTAATCTTTTAGTGACCATTGTTCCATTCATGGAATATATTTTAAGAGATATTATTTTGATAACAAGATGGACATTAATCTTGATTATTTTATCAATTTCATTTTAGCTTTTTCGGTGTATCAATAAAATAATCAAAATTAATGCTCATCTTGTATCACAATGTCGTAAAATATGTTTTAGTAATGGAACAGTGAGCACTTAAAGATTAAAATGCCATGTCCCTTCAGGACATAAATGATCGTGGTGCTCCACACCACAGGTATTTTTTCTTTATTATATAAACTGCCATGAGTTCTTAGTGTTTTCTGTTGCTTTCTCCATGATTTAGAATGAAAAATAATCCTTCTCCAAGACTATTATTTAACTTATAACTGACAAAAGAAAAGGTGAACTTATTGCATGTCAATAACCTTTATACTCATAGTACATTTGCAGTAGAAAGTATTTAAAAAATCTTGATCAACAAGAATGCCTTTGAGGTTTAGTTCTTCATATCATAGGGAAACAAATTATAGTCATATTGGTCATATTAAAAGTGTTGTAATCTTTAGATCAGTACCATAAAAACATTTGTAGCTTATACATTTTATAACAATTATTTTAGAATATAGTTGTTTTTCATTTTTACACATACAAAGAAACACATCTTTTCATTATAATTACATACACAAGAATAAAGTTGCATTTAAAAAAAAACAACAATATGAAGATGTTATTAACATTACAGTTAAACTTATGTAGCAATATGTTTCATGTTGTCGCTCCAGAAAATGCCAGACCCCTGCTGCCATGCTCTATCTTTATAAGAGTCAGATAAGACCAAGAGTGGAGTACCACTGTCATATCTGGACTGGTGGACCCCAATCCTCACTGTCCAGCATAAGACAGAATTCAAAAGTGCTTACACATCCTTGTGGGTGATGAATTATTTTCCACCTTGCAGCCCTGATCTCAAACAAAATGTTACCAGCCTTTCACCACTATGTTGCTATTTCTCTGGCAGATAGTCAAATGAGTTAAATTCCTTAGTGTCACCAACTTGGAGATTCACAGCTAGGAGCCCCCACCATGCTGTGTTCTCAGTGACAAACCATCCCCGTTCTTTTAGTGTTCATTTGATAAAAAGCAAATTCTACTCAGATAGCTTCTTCCCTAGAATTGTTATTTTGCAGAAGAAACTCCCGAGAGAATGCTTCCCTGAAAACTGCAATCTTGATCTGTTCAAGTTCAGGGTCAACTGATATCTACCCTACATGTCTTTATGATACTTCCCCCTTCCTTGCAATTTAATTCAGTAACCCTCTACCTTGAGTGGCTTTTGAGCCTTGTATTGGGTGAACTATGAGTAAAAAAAAGTTGCTGTTGCTTTTACCAAGTCTTGTAAAATGTTAATCAGTCAATACCCATTCCCCACTTTATGTTTATTATAACTGAAAATCCCTATTCAGAAATGATACCAAACATGGTCAGTATTGTTAAACAATGATATAAGAAAACACTGGGAATGCAGTATAATTATAGAATTCTACCAGAAGGATGTGGGCCGTTGGAAACCACTTTACAGAAAAGCATTGACAAGTGAAAATCTTTAATCAACGAGTATAGCTGCACACTAATTAATAGGCGGACTGTGTTTCAAAACTACCTCTGATCAATTCTATAAGCACATTTAAAGGATGATGCCTCAGTGTAATGAGATTTTAAATTCTCAGGTTCTTTTTCATGGGCTTTATCTGCATCCAAGCTGAACAAATCAGATTAAATTTTCTTGGTCTACTGTACATGGAAATATAAATACTCAATTCAAAGCAGTATTGTTGAAGTGTCTATGAGTTATCTCCCTTTGCTAGGCACTTTTTGAATATTTAAATATAAATAGTGGATACATTCAACCAAATTCCCATAAATGCCATTGGATGCAATACTTAAATTTTAATAATTAATTTTAATTATCAGTTTTTAATCTTTCATTACTTGCTTCAAAATACTAATATTTTTTGTGCTGAAATTCAGCCCTTTTTTTTTTTAAACTAAACTGAATAATTAGTTACACTATTTATATTTAGACTATTGTCCTCAATTTGTTGTTGTTATCACAACATTTTGGCAGTTCTACCCTCTGGCCTTCCACAGGTGTATATTAATCTGGGTAACTGACAGGGAATTTATTCACTATATTGATCTGGGTAACCTACAGTGAATTTATCTACTAGTGGATAAAAGCATTGGTTTGTGAATTGGGTGACATAGTGGTTGTGAGTTCAATCCCCAAGTTGGGTGGTGTGTACACGCACCCAGTGGAAATGGATGAGCAATAACTCAACTGTACTAAATAAAAATAAGAGCTAGATGATATCTCCAGATATGTGCAGTCGAATAAAGGATTCAGTTCAGAATTCCCTGTTGGCAGTTGGTTGGAATGGTGGGGAAGAGGCAGGAAATCGGTCGGAATGGTGGGGAAGAGGCAGGAAATCGGTCGGAATGGTGCGGAAGAGGCAGGAAATCGGTCGGAATGGTGCGGAAGAGGCAGGAAATCGGTCGGAATGGTGCGGAAGAGGCAGGAAATCGGTCGGAATGGTGCGGAAGAGGCAGGAAATCGGTCGGAATGGTGCGGAAGAGGCAGGAAATTGGTCGGAATGGTGGGGAAGAGGCAGGAAATCGGTCGGAATGGTGGAGAGAAGTAAGAAATCAGTTGAAAATGTGAGGAGATACAGAAGATCATTTGAAAAGTTGGGGGAGAGGCTGGTATGTATGATAAAGAAATACATAGATATCTTGTATTTTTATAATGAGTCTTAATTGTCATATTGTGAGAGCTTAATTCTCACTGTCCATTTCAGCTTTCAGCCTAATTTGTCATATTATTCTATACTTTTGTATATATTAAGTCAGTTTACAATCAGTCTTACATCAGTTAATATTAGTTAAAAAATTATTTCTTTTAAGAGTTCTTGAAATTAATGAACAAATTCAATGAAGAATATACATATAATATTAATTAAAGTAAATCACCTGTTCATCAATGAGGTGCATTTTTTCTGTCTGTGCCTGTGCCAGGAGCCGCTCCAACTCCGACAGTTTTTCCAGGTGGTCGTTGTCACTACTTAGGCTACACGGAAACAAAAAAGAAAAAATATATAGTTAATAGTTGACTTACTTATATTTTTATGAAGAATAGTAGAGAAAAAAATATAAGTTTTAAACAAAGTTAAATTAACATTCAACCTCTATTTAAAGTTACTCATTATCACTGAAAAAACTCAAGATTCCAAAATCTGTTTGGATAATTCATGAGCTGCATACACAAGGTTAATATAATTTTCTTTATTCATTGGAGCATCCCATTGTTGATATAATTTAGAATCATTTACATGGTATGTGTGGCTCATATTGCTGGGAATGAACCAAACTGTTTGATATATTAGTGACTTTTTTCTTTTTGCCATCTTAATCAATAAACAAAACTTCTTTCCGTGAGAAGAAGGCTGTATAAGTATTATCTGAAAAGAATCTGGAAATAAAACAAAACCTACATTGAAAAATTTAACAGATCCTTATGTAGAACATTTACCTAGCTTAATAAAAGCATAATTAGTTCATCTAATAACAGATGAATATGTAGCACAACTTAACCAGTTTCAAAGGAAAAAGATTTTGTAAAAGGCACTTAACAAATGGATAGAATGTAAACTTGAGGAAGCTTATAGAGCACACTGGCAAAAAGAAAATGATAAAAACAATATGAGGATGATATTTTAAATCATTCTCAAAATGATGATATGTCTTAATCTCAAGAATTTCTGACAACATAAAGATGCTGAATTAAAAAGTAGAATCAAATTCAGATTCCTAAATATTAATTTGTCTAAAATGCACTGTTGTCTGCTTTTTTTTCTTTTTTTTTTTTTTTGCTGTTTCCTCTTTCTCACAGATGAAACGTTGCTTGCCCCTCAATACTCCATTGCTATTTTCGTAGCAGATATTGAGGCAAACTATATTCCTTGCTTCTACCAGTCCAGCTAGGACCCGCCATGCCCTTTACAGCTAGGACCCGCCATGCCCTTTACAGCTAGGACCCGCCATGCCCTTTACAGCTAGGACCCGCCATGCCCTTTACAGCTAGGACCCGCCATGCCCTTTACATAGTCAATTCATTCTCATTCCATTCATATTCCATTGGTAGGGAGTAAGTTCTATTCAGATAGTGTCCTCCCTAGAACTGTTGCATTGTGAAATAGACTCTTGAGAGGAAGCTTCTTTCTGTCTATATTTCGGAAACGAAGGTATTGTAACTATTTACATTGTTTGGACTACTATTCTCATTTTTATTGCTATATTCATGACGTTTCAGTCATTGTATGATCCAGCCTTCTTCAAATGACATACATTGGATTTTCAGGTACTGAACTCATAACTCTTTGGGCCAAGTCACTTTCTGGATCACTCAGCCAATGCTTTTATTCACCGAGCCCTTGGACCCATTAAATAAAAGCGTTGGTCGAGTGATCAAGAAAGTGACTTGAACCAAAGAGGTGAGAGTTCAATACCTGGCAACAGCAGAAGGAACAAAAACTTTGAGAGTTGAGCTACTAAGGTGAATTAATTGAAACTGAGATATCCAAAAGCATGGCATGTGGAATTAGAACAATTGACTCCCTGTGGACTAAAAGAGTTTGGTTTGAAATTCCAACGTATATATCCTGAAGAAAGCCGGAGGGTATAACATCTGAAACATCATGAATATGGCAATAAAGATGAGGACAATGGCCTGCACATTGTAAATAGTGTGTATGGAAACTTTCTTGATCACTACAGCCTTAACCTTTTCAAGTCATGGATCAACTGCTATCTATTCTACATATCCTCATAATAGGTAACCCTTGCTCCCTCCTTGTACAACCTTCCAACAATCCTATTTAGTTGGCCTCAACTTTGAGTTGTTCTTGAGCCTTGTATTGAGTAAATAATATTGAAAAACAAAACAAAAAACAAAATCTATATTCATTATGTAGTGGGTAGTGTAACAGTGATTCAGAGAGAAAATTCAGCAAGCTGAGTTTGAATTCAGGCCAACTTTGTTGTGTTCCCCTTTCAGACAAATATCTTTGAAAAAAGTATGAATCCATCTCTTTTCCCTGCAGCTTTGGGTTGAATAGTAGGCCTGACTAGGTTTTCTTGCCTTGAGGTGGTAATAAGTCAAGAAAGAAAACTGAATTCCAAACTGAAGATGAATAGGCTTCATCAGGTTATCTTACCCTAGACACATCACTGTTGCTATGGCTGCAGCACATGTAATGTCAACATGACCCTAATGGGTTATGGGATTCATGTCCTGTGACATTCATTAAAAAGCAAAAAAAATGTTAACCTTACCCACTATTCATCCTAAAACACTAAATAAAAATATATTCTAACAAGTATTAAATTAAAATTATTTTCATCCACAATACTAACTGCAAATATCTCATATTTGATTTTTGATTGTTTATTTACTTCAAATCATACAACACTTTTAAAAATAAATAAAAGCCCCCAAATCCTTCTTAAACTCCAATAATGAAAATTTCCATTTCTCTCATCTTATATTTTCTGTTTTGCCATGCAAAATTGATTTTTATTGCTAACTAGATAGGTTTGCCTATCACCCAGTTCATACTCTTCCATGGTTTTCTGAACAGAGTAGATGTTTATTCCTTGTTTCTTGTTCCTTTTAAAATCTCCTCATTCTCTTTTACTCCCAGTAACCCCTTGTGTCTAAGTGGCATTATCACCTTGCTTAGGGTGAATTGATTAAAAAAAAAAAAAAAACCCAAAAAAACAGTGAAGTAATGGATAGTAGATTGGATTGAGGAATCGGAGAGCCAAGTTCAAATTCCAGTCAAATACATTACATTCACTTACATGACCCTTGAGAAAGGTATGAATCTTCTTCTCCTGCCAGCTATGTGTAAATAGCAGGAGAGACCGAGTTCTGTAGCCTTGGATGGCAAGTGGTCTACCGTGGAAAGAAATGGCAACATACTGCGGGAAAAAATCTGCCTCATCAGTTATGTACCAGAAGATACATAATCTCCTACGCATCTATCATGCATGGCACATGACTGAACACATTGGAAATTAATCTTTCAAAGACATTAAATAATGAGGCTTCCATGAACAAAGTAATTAAGAAGATGCCAATGAAAGACTAGCTTTCAAGAGATTGGATGCCAATTTAAATCTAATCCAAAACTGTTTCTCATTTTATACGGTTCAAGTTTGCAATTAAAAAGTATTTAAACCTGGAACATTGCACTAAAATGTACCGAGGTAATAAAGAAAAACTAGTAACAAAATAACACTGCTGGCCGATAATAATTACTATATTCATTTATATATTTCTATGTAATCTACATATATTTAATGATCAAAAGCAAATACTTTTATTGAACACAATGTTGGAAAATTTGACTTGTAATTGCATAAAAATTGCAGAGACTGACTACAACAAAAAACAATATTCTGTATAGTAGCAAAAGCAGCCTTGTTACCTCCCTTGGTTGGCAACTGATGAGGCTAGAGTATCCTATATGATTTCACACATATGTAGAAAATTTCATACACTAAATGTAACAACCCTTATGGAACAGAGGAAGTAATAATAAAGTGCTTCACCTAAAATGAATAAAATAAATTTAGTAATTTTTTTCTTTGTGTTTGTGCAGTGCCACCTTCAATTTGGACTCAGCTTACACTACGGCCTGACGCCTGATTGATCTCGTCTACCTGAAATCAAAGTCACAACATGGGTAGGTTAGACTTGAGATCGAAGCAGTTACTCCAGTAACCAGATGTTGCAGTGAGCTGGGAACAATAGAGTTGACATTGAACCAGTACAGCTGGTGAAGCCATTAACATCAATGACCAGAATTCGACTCTGGTGCCACATATTGGTGCTTTGACCACTGGATTTGACCCTGGATGGCCGAGTGGCACATATTAGTATCCTGACCAGGGAATTTTGCCGAGTAGCGATGACCACTGAACAACTGGGACAGAGGTTGGTGGCAGCAACAAAGAGTCAAACCCCAAAACGTTGGTGGAAGAAACCTTACAGCTTCGTGCCACGACTGGGAGTTGACCACAGGTCGACGGTTTGGCGTCACATTTTAAAAGACATCTTTCCAATACATCTTCAGATTCTGGTGCCACATTTTTGGTCCTCTATTAAAACACTACCTAGATATTTAAATTTTCATACTGGCTTTATTTTGATACCTCCAATTTGTAGTTTGCATTCAAAAACTGTCAAATTCATTGTTAGTTTTGCTGTTTGTATTAATCTATATTTCAGTGAATTTCATTTTATATGTCAATTGTATAACAAAAAAATGATGTTGTCTGAATTTCTCCAATGACATATTTTGGATTATTCATTTTCTATTTATGTTTCACTTTGTTTTTTTGAGTAAACTTGGATCTTTGTGCCTGCAATAAAATAGTGTCAAAAAGTCAGTTTTTCCATTGATACCGCTATTATTTTAACTACCATCACTCCTCATAAATGTTTATTGTTTTAAAAGGCAATGATTAGAATTGTAATAAATCCTCAACATATAAAGAAAGTGAATTTATACATTGTTTTTTTCTCTTGATAATTTACAACAAAAATATTAAACACTATTTATTTATTAGATAGTTTATTTTCAGGATTTATAAATAGCTACTTTTTATTAGATGTATGTTCAGGATTTATAAATGGCTACGTTTTATTAGATGTGTGTTCAGGATTTATAAATGGCTACATTTTATTAGATGTGTGTTCAGGATTTATAAATGGCTACGTTTTATTAGACACTTATTTGCTAGGACAGGTGATATCATATTATTGCCACATTTCAACTGTTATACTCTGCCGCTTTCTTAAAGTGACTGTTTTAATTGTTAATCTTAGGGGAATTTAGAACCAAATTCTACTGTAATAGTAGTAGCAGTTATAGCTTTTTAGTTAATTTATACTTATTAAGTTGTTTGTGTCTTGCTGTATTAAAGTATATAACTGTTTTCTGTTGATTCCAACACAGATTATCTACTATGAGAGTTACTTAAAGAACACCTGTAAGTTTAACA